AGTCAGCGCCCAGGGGCCGAGCTGCGGGCGTGGGGAGGGTCCCCGGCGCGGCGCCCCGACGGGAGGGACGACGAGCAAACCCTGGAAATAGCTGGGATGCCTGTGGCCGGCACAGGGCCGAAAACAGAGGGCGCGTCTCGGGGTAGGACCCGTGCAGACCGACGGGGTGATCCGGGCGGCGACCCTCGGTCAGGGCACGAATCCAACACACACCCTGGGAAGGGTCTGAGAAAGGGAGCCGGCCACAAAGCCCCAAGCCCCAGGTGATCCCTCTTTCCCGCTGCACGAGCTCCACAGCTGATTCCGGGCATCACATTTATCGACCAGGGCCTTCAGGTGGAGGCAAGACAGGGGGCCGGGCTCCCACCGCCCACCCTGGCAGGGACGGCGGGACAGGCCCTTCCAAATCGCCGTCTCCCTGACAGGGTCCTCACGCGCAGGGAGCGCCCGCCGTGGGAAGGTGCTTTACTCTGCTTTTCACTGAAGAAGCAGGACCAGAGTGAAGCGACTGGCCGAGGTCGCGCAGGCTTTTCATCCAGGGCACCCCCCACCCCCACCCCCACGCCACAGCCGCCCTCCTCACCTCCCTCCTGCGTGTGGCCCCAGCCGGTGACCCAGATGGCCTTGCCGGCGGGGAAGGCATGCGTGGCGTCGGGCAGGCAGATGGGCCGCACGGTGGGGCTGTACTCGACTGGCCGCTCGAGCTGCAGCAGCGCGATGTCGTAGTCGAAGGTGAAGTCGTTGAAGTAGGGGTGGGAGATGATGCGCTGCAGCCGGAGCTCCTGCACCCCCGGGGCGCTACGCTGGCTCTGGTCGTGCAGGCCCAGGTAGGCGGTCCACATGCTGTGGTCTGAGTACCTGCAGGGGCGGGGAGGGGCGGGGAAGGGGCGGAGGAGGGAGTAGCTGAGCCCCGCCCCCAGTCCCCGCCCCCAGGAATGGGGCAGGGTCGGGGCGGAATCCCGTACGCGGGCAGTGCAGCTCCCACCCCCTTACCTCTGCTTTCCTTTCTCAGTACATTCTTATTTTGTTACCAAAACGACCTCCTATCTTATTAACCTTTTCTTCCTCAGAAGGAGTAACACAGAAATCAACCCAAAGACTTCTAGGTTGAGCCAAGAGAGCGGAGCAGAGACTCACAGCTCACCCTCTCCTGCAAATACACCAAGGATTACATCTGCAAACCCACTGAATCGCACAGAACACTTATTGAACTCGCAGAGTGTCTCCCGCTTCGAAATACGGGAGGATTCTCACAAAATCCAAAGGAAAAAGAAAAAAATCGGTGCAGGACCAGCCCTGCAGGGAGGGGGCAGCACAGGAAGAAAGGCACTCTCATGCTGGGACGCCCCCTCTCCAGCTGGGAGGTCAGCAGGGAAAAGCAGAGCTTCCGAGGCTCCAAGCAGAAAGTAGCAACCACTTGACAGACAGAACTAAGGGAAACTGACACGGAGGGTCTCTGTGATCCCCAGCCCTAGACACAAGCCAGCAGGGACAAGCCAGGACTGGCTGCCGGAGATCGGTGAGGAGCCCAGGCCGAGAGCTGGGGCCCACTGCACAGAGGCAGCCCCAGGGGACTGGAGGGCGGTGTGGGCTCTGGCTAGGGGTGTGTGCGGAACAGAACAGCCTGGGACCCCCCATAAAAAAACACCACTTTGGTGGGGGCGGCGCGACGCAGACACGCCACAGCCACTTTGCCCACTAGGCTCCAATGTTGGTGTGGTCTCGCGAGAAGAGGGGACTGGCTCGGTCATAGCCATCACTGCTGCACGGAGGCAGGGCTGAAGACTGAATCTACACCCAGTGGCCCTGCAACTTCACAGGCGGAACTGAGATTTGTTTACAGCCCCAGACGGAGAGGGCGGATTTGCTCTTTCTGGACCCTCTGGGACGGACAGGCAGTGAATGGAGTCCTGATGCATGGTGGGGCCGGGGTACCGGACCATACCATACATACAATGGGTGTTAATGCATTAACTGGCAGAAGTACAACTGATGAGAAGGAAAAGGAAACAAAAAATAAAAAGACGAAACAAGGGAAAGAGAAGAAGCAGGGGAGGACACCGAGCAGATGCCCCAGGAAGTCCACGTACATGCACATCCTAGCGCCCCCTGATGGCAGGGCTAGAAACAGGGGGACTGCAGGAACCACGAGGACCCAAGTGCCCGGGTTTTGGTTTCTCCTCAGGGAAGGACTAGTTCTAGGGCCGGACCAGGAAAATTCAAGAAGAGCCTAGACCAGCTGGTAGTGCCAGAAAGCAAGGAAGTGGCTCAGAAAAACAGAAGCATGCGTGCAGGTCAAAGGGAGCCAGGAGCCAGCCTCGGAGAGCCCCCGGCGGTCAGCTGTGGAGCAATCTAGCAGCAAACGACACAGTTTTGGATTTTACAGCCTACAGCACAGACATACGCGCAAGTCCCCACACACACGAACAGATGATTAAATAAACGGGAGAGAGGAGACAATTCCAAATTTACTCAATGCCAAAGACCAGAGTAAGAGGGAAAACGTTTCAGAGTGGAGCGAGCTGGCCAACACCGTCTTAACCAGACGACAGAGATGAAATCACCAGCAACCAGCCAGGATGACATCATTTACCTGCCAATGTGACATGACTCTTCCAGACACTCACACCCCAGTCAAACCATGAGCGCAGCACCAGACACCCACATGGGGGCGCCCCACGGGTCCCGGCCTCCAGACTGCCGAGGCCACGATAAACACAAAGAAAAGACAGAACGCGTCACAGACCAGGGGAGACTGGGGAGACGGGACAACAGATGCAAAGGGCGGACCTGGACTGACTCCTGCAGCAGAAGGGAGGCGAGTGTACAATGGCGGCCCGGAGCCCAGGGGGAGCCTGGAGGCATTTGCAGGAAGGGACTGGGGGAGTTCCTCCTGCTGGCATGAACAAGGGAAACTGGGCGAGGGGACGGGAGTGTCATCCTCTCTTTGCAACTTGTCCGCATTCCAAAATAAAAGGTTATTTAAAATATTCTTAAGTAAGCTCCCATCACCCCAAAAAGAAAGCAAGTCCCTTTCACCCAGAGTGGCGTGGAGTGTGACCAAATGAGAAGAGGGACAACAGTCAGGCTGGACAAGGCTGTCCTTGGCCAGCCCAGCAAGGCCCGGGGACCAGTACTGACCCCACTCCCCCAGACCTGTGTCACCTCCAGCATGTGCACCTGTCTGACCAGACCCAACATCTGGCCTTAGGCCTACTCCGTGCTGAGGACCCTATCTCTCCTGAACGCCCGCAGCGGTCCTTCTCTCTCCTTTGCAAAGGGGTGAACGAGGCAGCCTGGGGCCCCTTCTCACAGCTGCCCACAGCAGAAGGGACAATGCCCAGCAGGAAGGCCCCAGACAACCCCCTGGAAGGTCCGCTACCCTCTGCCTCCTCTCCAGGAGCAAGCTGTCCCCTTGGACCCCTCCTGCAGCCAATGGACAGAGGGCCTGGGCAGGCTGGACCTACATCACCAAGAGCCCCAGCCCCAGATCGCCCACCTGCTCCTGCTCACCGTGGACCTGCCCACTCCATCCTGAGGCTCCAGCATGCCATCTTTAGTGACCTTCCCTGTGCGCCAGGCTCAAGTCTGCTGTGGACCCGAGGCTACAATGGACTGAAAACCTACTGTGTGCAGGTAGAGAGCTCAACGCTTCAAGCACGTCTCCCTTTTACTTCTCACAACTCTCAGGATAAGACTCAGAGAGCCACCATCACCAATGAGGAACCTGAGGCCAGGAAGCGGGTCACCTGGCGAGCCAGAGCTGGGACAGGAGTCCCTGTGGTGCAGAGACCAACAGCACAGGCTCTAGAATCCACACACCTGGGCTCGAGGCTGGCTCTGCCACTAGACAGCTGTACAACTTCGAGCAAATGTACTTACCTTCTGAGCCTCCATTTCTGTTTAACAGGGACGTAATCAGACCTGCCTGCCTGGGTTGTCAGGAGAGGCACTGAGATCCCGCCTGACAAGAAGGCACCCACCAAACACTCCTTTTCATTATTTCTGCCACCCCTCCAGTCCCTGCCCTGGCCCACTTGAGCACGGCTCGCAGGCACAGGGCCTTTCCACTCCAGGAAGCACAGAGGAGGCCTCCCTGCTCCCCGCTGAGGCCCACCTGAATCCTCGGTAGTCGACGAAGCAGTGGGCGGCCGACACCATCCAGTCGGGAGAGATGAGCGACGCCCCACACACGTGGCCCTGGCCCAGGGCGTGGAGGCTCACCTGCCAGGGCCACTCGCCTTCGTCTGCATTCTCGCCCCCGACGACCCGAGATTGTCTGGTGAAGGACCGCAACCCGCAGTCTAGGGGGCAGAGGCGGGAGTCAAGGGGGGGCCAGGCTCCACGAGAGCCCGTGTGGGCACCAGCACTGCTGGAGCAGCCGTGGCAGCCGCCTGGCCCCTCTCCCTGCCCCAAATTCAAACCCCTGACCTCCACCTCCCCACTCCTGCACAGGTGCTGTCAGGAGCCTCCAAACATCTGCTGGTTTGCTTAGATTTGGGTGTCATCTGCGTAAATTTGCTGGTCGAAAGATGAAGGACATGCTCCCAGAGAGGGGAGCAATGGGTGACGTGAACTCACAGAACAGCTGCAGCTCGGCTCACATTTAACCTGGGGCCAGTGCTTCTGAAATACACAAGGGGCTGCAGACTGAACTACGAGTCGGGTGGGGACAAAACCCTGCCAAGGGCTCCAGGAACCGTGCCTTCTCTCCTCCAGGCAGGGTGGGGAAGCCAGGACTTGCCTCTATGGCCAGGTCTACAAACCAGGGTCAGCCCAGCACCGCAGCCAGGACTCCAGCCCTGCCACAGAGGCCTTGATGTGCTGGCTGCCCTGGACCTTGCTTCCAGGACCAGAGCAAGCCCATGGGGCAGTGCCTTGGTGCAAATCAGAAAAGTCATCCTTTGCTCCAGGCAGACACACCCTGTCACCAAGGCAGAGCTGGGTGGCTGAGGTGCTGGCATGATTTCTGCCTCTGTATGTGCCTTGCACAGTGGACAACCTACACAACCGTATGCAGCAGCCCTGCTCACCACAATTCTTCTCATCCGAGCCATCAGTACAGTCCTTCTTCCCGTCACACTCGGGGTTGCCCTTGCTGATACAGAGCCCGTTGAGGCAGCGGTAGGTCTGTTTGGTGCACGTGATAGTGCTCACTGCTCAAGACGGAGGACACAGCGGAAGGGAGGCAATTTCATTACAGCCCCAAACTGCAGATCCCTCCACCCCACACCCCTCTCAGGCCTGCCCACCCATCCACACCATGCCCTGTCTTCTTCCAGCCCTGCCAATGTGCTCCACCTCCCGGAAGATTTACTGAACTCTGGACCCCTGGGAGGAAAGTAGGCCAGGCCGGGCCTCACCTCTGTCGCAGGTGGCCTCATCGGACCCGTCGCCACAGTCATTCTTGCCATCGCAGCGATGGCTCTGCGGCAGACACTTCCCGTTGCCACACTTGAAGGTGTCAGCGGGACAGCCTGTGGAAGCAGGGAGACTCAGCGGAGGCCCGGCGCCCCAGCCCAGAAGAGCAGGGAGCCGGCCGCCCCCCAGGGCACTCACTGCACCCCTTCTCGTCACTGCCGTCCTCGCAGTCGTTCACGGAGTCACACACCCAGAAGAGGGGCTTGCAGAAGCTGTCCCCGCACGTGAACTGGTGGGTGGCGTTGCATTCTGGGGGGTAGGGGGGCAGCAGTTGCACACCGAGGCTCAGCAGGGATAGGGCCTCCCCGGGCATCACTCACTGCAGCTCCCCCAGAGCTGGGGCCACTGCATGCTCCTGGGGACCGCCTCCCACCTGGAGGGTGGGGCTGGCGCCCCTAGGGACCGGCTGTGGAGGCAGCTCCGCCTGCTCCACCAGGAGCCCCAGGGAAGGCGGACATGGGGGTGGGGGGCACCGCCTCCTCCCACCTCAGGCCGCCCTGCAGCGGGGTCCAGCCAGCACAGCGAGGGCGGGGGGACTCCCGGGCCTCGCAACCCCACTCACTGCAGTCACGCTCGTCGCTGTAGTCGGTGCAGTCGGCCCAGCCGTCGCAGCGCAGCTCCTTCGCGACACACCGCCCCGTGTTACACATGAACTTGCCCGGGCACGCTGCGGGGGGAGGGCAGGTCTGAAGTCCAAGGCCACCACCCCTGCCTCCCCAGCTGGCTCCCCGCCTCGCCCCGACCCCGGGAGCCAACCTCACAGCCACAGTGAGCACTAGGGAAAACTGCCCAGCCCAGCCCCCAGCACAGGGAGGGGCAAGGCTGCAGCCACGGTCTCCCAGGGGCTTCCCAGGGGTCTCCCAGGCCAGCCGAGCTGCGGCAAGTGGAGGGTCCTACAGCTGGCGGGGGTGGGCTGGCCAAGGTCCCCCCTGACCGCTAGTTACCAAACCCCGGGGAAGCCGGGGCAGAGTGGAGAGAGGCTGGCGGGTGTGCACTCTGGTCCACTGTCCTTGGCCACCATGTCCACAAGCACTGGGCTCCCCATTAGCCACTCGGAGCAACAGCAGCTCGGCAGTGGATGACGTCCGTGCCCTACGCTCATGTCAAATTGCGTCACCAAATTTCCTTAATTCTAAGAGATCCTCCCCATTTCAGTGTTTCTGAGACTGGAATGCGTCTGACAGCTGATGTCATCAGGCAGATGACAAAACTGAGAAGCAGCCGTGGTCACTTTCTCTGCACAGGTGGCTTAGTCACTTATCAAAGGGGTTTGCTCATCCAATTACACTTTTGGTGGTGAGCCCTGCCATTGAATTTTAACTTAAATCTGGATGCCTGTGCACAGTTAAAGTGTCTTCCAAAAGGTTATTCTATGATGTGGGCTTGAAACAAAAATTCACTGTGGACAGACTAGAACTGATATCCACAGCAGACGGTGAGACGCAAAGCTGTCTTTACAGTACAGACCACAGGATTTTCAGCACTAGGAGACGTGAGTCTGAGAACTCATGCCCTAGTACATTATTCTAATATGTCTCAAAACCATCCTCTTAATCCTACAGGTGCTAAAAGGCCACAGAGACAAGCACAGATTCTCAAAGTTGTAGTGACGCTGAACCAAAGAGACAATGGCCCAAAGGAGCTCGAGGTCCTCAGCCCGAGGTGCCTGGCCCAGGGCTTGGTGTCTGCCAGTGTTCACTGCCAGCCCTTTTTCACAAGTGCATCTAAGGCAGCCCCTTCTCCCCTCAAAAAGCGACTAGAGTGATAGGCATCCTGCAATCCTGGGCAGCTTAGAATCCGAGAGCACGATGCCAGTAAGATGCGGGGCAGAGAGTGCATCCCCAGCCGAGCACCCCACAGGGCCAGGCTCCCCCGCAAAGGGCGTCCACTCACGGTCACTGGAGTCATAGGAGAGGTACTCGGCCAGGAAGCCCGTGTCGGTGTAGGACTGGTCGGAGTGGAAGTGGACAGTGATCTTGCTGCTCCTGCTGCTCACGACAAACTGGGACCTCTCTCCACAAAACCTGGGGGCGGCAGGCAGCGGTAGGAAGAGGATCCGCCCGGGGAGGGGGCTCAGGGCACACCTCCCCGACCCCCAGACACTCACCTCTCCCCATTGATCTCCACGTAGTCCTTGGAGCAGGAGCCCAGGGGGACGTTGGGCTCCAACAAGTAGAAGGCCTTGAAGCGCACCTTCACGTTCTGGTTGTTGGGCACCTGAAGAGAGAGACGCTGCTGGCCCTCTGCTCTGCCCTCTCCCTCCTGCACCCGCAGCGTCACGGGCGGCCTCGGGGGCCGGGGAGCAGCGGCGTGGGGCCCAGATGCCCGGTTCTTCCCTCCAGCCCACACGGGCAGTAAGGACACGGCTGGACGGATTCGGGCTCCGTGCACAGAAGACTTTCTAGGCTTCCCAGCAGTGAGACACACGATTATATTTCTACAGGAGGCTGGAAGTTCTCCCAGCACTAGGGACTGGATGGCCTGAGGGGTAGTCCCATCTCCAGCCACCCAGCAAGTGCGTCCTCTGTGCCTCACACATTCTGATTCCATCCGGACAGCACCTCCGGAGGCCGGTGCCCGGAGCAGGTACAGCACTGAGAGGCGGTCCCTGCCCGAGGGCCCTCAGTCAGGCACTGACTGGGAGCTGGGATTTGAGTCTGAGTCTGCTGGTCACTGCAGATCAGCGCTGCCCAAACCTGCTCCGCCCGAGGCCTCTGATACCCGCACCTTAGGAGGCGCCGAAGGCACTCCTGGCCGTGTATTCTGCCCTCCTTCCTGCCACCCTGGACGGTCCCTCCCTGCCACCCCCTTCTCGCCACCATCCACAGCTCCTACCTCGATGTGCCAGGTGCAGTTGACGTTGGGCGGGTAGTGGCCTGGGTAGTAGGGGCTGCTAAACGTCCCCTGGGCTCCACGTAAGTAGCCTCCACAGCCTGAAAGGAAAGGCCCGAGAGAGCGCATGAGGATCAAGGATCCAAGCGGCCAAGGGGCCCTGCAGAGTCAGCTTGGCCTCCCTCGAGAGCACGCCTAGGCACCGGACGCTCTCCACGGCCGGGAGGGCCCTGAGCTCCAAACCCCTGGGCCGCCTGGAGGCTTGTCCCCTCCTGCCTTCTGGGCACCCCCTTACTGCTCATCCGGGGCAGCTGGAAGAACATGGCCTCGAAGCCGGGGTGCCGCCTCTCTGTGCTGGTCACCAGCGTGACGAGCAGGACGTTCTGGGAGGAGAGGAAGGTCAGGTTGTAGGAGGGAGGGTACGTGCCACACAGCCTGCAGGGGCAGAAGGGTGGTGTCATCAGAGCGGACAGGACCCCTCCCCAACCCTCGTCCCACCACACAGGGCCAAGGGTGGGGTCCAAAGCCCGTCCCCACACAGGCAACCAGCCATCTGAGTAAGGACCTACTCATAATACAGTTTTTGTTTAAAACAGCAAAAACTCAGAAACACTGAATGTCCAGCAGTTGAGGCCACACTAAATAAACTACGGCCCAAATACTAACAGTAACTACTGACTTGCGTAAGCACACGCCAGGCACCGCTCTGAGCGCTTCTGTATCTGTTAACGCCGGTATTCGTCACAACACCCTCATTTTACAGTCCTGAGCCTGCTACCCTGCCCGCCTTTCCTGCACAACCACAACAAAGGCCCTGCCCGGTCTTCCTCCAGCCTCCTCTGCCTCCTGACAGCCCGACTCTGCTGCTTCCGCGGGCAGCCCTGCACGGCCCTCCTCTCGGGAACTGTGAGTAACAGTCATTCCAACAGCAGCCCCTCCTGGTCTGTTGGCCTCACCATCCCTGAGTAACAGTAAAACCTTGATTTACAACAGCAGGAGGCACCTTCACTCTGGCTGGTAAAAGCACGCTCACCAGCATCTGGGGACCCGTGGGCCTCCGGCATCCTTGCCAAGGCTGACAAAGTCACCCTGAGCTGCTGCCCTGCAGCTCACACTGAGGACAACGCCACGGCTGCTCTCTGCTGCCTGGAAGCTGGCAGCAGCCTGAACCTCCAACATGCACTGCGGTTCATTCCAGAGGCCCCACCCAGCACAGGCAGCCGCCAGCCTCCCAGTGCCCACCTCCGCTGGCCCAGGACACTCACTGCACCACGGCCCGGGGCTCCACGGGGCTCAGGGTGTCATACACCGTGACCAGGTCACTGCCGTGTTCGTCGCAGGTGGAGACGTCGAAGCTGCGGAAGGTCAGGCTCAGTGCGGAGTCGGCATCCCCCCGCAGGGTCCACTGGCAGCGGGCATGAGACGGGTAGGGGCTGTTGGGGAAGCCAGGCGTGGAGAAGCGGATGGGCTCACTGCCGCGGGCGTGCAGGGCGAAGCTGCAGCTGTCTGTGTGGACAAGAGGGCGCGGGGCAGAGCTGGTGGGGGAGCAGCCCAAACGCCCACTGGGGGGCACCCAGATCTGGCCTCTGTGAGGTGTCCCAGGCTGCCCTGGACCCGGGAGAGACCGAGAAGAAGGCTTCTCATGGCCTGGGAGAGGCACAGGGACGTGCTGGCCGTCACTACCGTGTGACTTTTGGGGACCCCTTTGACTGAAGGGGCATCCGGCCACAGCCCTCCTCTTTCCCTCTGGGAGGAGGGCAGGATACTTACTGTCCTGGGCATTCTGTACTGTCCTGGGGTCGGTGGCTGAAAAAGAAGAGGGAAAATAAAACATTTACTGATCTGGTCTGTTTCCTTATTCCTGCTTTCTTATCCCCTTAAAGGGAGGTGCCCGGCCAGCAGGCCGTCTCCTCTTCCGGGCACTGGCTCTGGGAGTGCTGGCCCCCCCCCACAACAGTCCAGGGTTTGGTCCTGCTCCAGGCCGGGCAAATGCCCACACCACTGCCCCTGACTCACGGAAGGCCACCACCGAGGTCAGCACGAAGGAGCTGAGGGTGCGGGCGCGGGGCGGCAGGGTGACCACGCGCTCCTCCGCCATGGCACGCTCCACCTCCTCCACCAGGTTCTTGGGGACGCTGAACTCCGCCCAGTAGTAGGCGATGACACTGCCCTCGCTGGGGAGAGATGGGCCAGCCTGAGACGCCGGTGCCCACACCCTCCCAGATGCCAGGTGCAGACGGGGCAACTTGGCCCCCCAGGGGGGCTCACCAAGAGGCCATCCACTCCAAGGGTCCTGGATGCTCACCCACATGCTGACCCCTAAGCCAGGGACCTGGGCCCCTCCCTCTCTGCTCTCACAGCCTCACACCCAAACAGGCGTGCAGTGGGGCCACTTAGGCTCAGGGGTGAGGTTCTACCACTAGCCTGGGCTCACTGAGCGGTAGCTTCTCAGCCTGTTCCTGAACCCTGAAAGGGGCTGAGAACGCTACCGGCCACACGACATCCGTAAAGGCTAAATCAGACTAGCAAACGCAGAAGTACTTCCGAGATAAAGTCAGAACAAGGACTGTGGCACCCTGCCTCTCCACGCAGGACCTCGCAGCTTCATCACGCACAGGCTGCGAGGCCCTCAGCCCCACACACCACACCGCAGCGGTCCCCCTCCCCCCGGCCTCCCCGGCACCCACCTGAAGGCAGTCACGGCCGACTTCTTGTGATAGGGGCCCAGGACCGGGATCCCACTGTACAGCAGCTTCAGCTGAGGAAAGGAGAGGAGGTGACAGCGGGGAGGTGACGGCAGGCCCAAGAGCAGGAACGACCCCCAGCCCCCAGCCCAGGCCACTCCCTCCCTCCTGGGGCCTGGCACCTTCCCAGGCGCCTGGAAGCCCACATTACACACCAGCCCAGGGGTCTGGAAGCCAAGGGGAGCATCCTTTTCCTCTGGATGAGGAGGTGGGTGCCAGAGTGGACAGGGGGCCTGGGCTCCATCCCGGGACTGGACTCACCGCCTCCTTCACCTTCTTGGCCAGGTTTGCAAACTCTGTGGAGTTGGGGTTCTCATAAGCATCCAGAAAGTTCTCATTCGAGATCCTCAGGTAGCCATTGAAGACCTTCTGGACCCGCACGTTCTGGTCTGTGAGAGACCAGGGGAGGACGGCTGTCAGAGGAAGGGACACACCCACTCCCATCCCCACACCGTCCACAGCTGCCCTGAGCCCTCCCCTTCCCCCCCACAATCTGCACCCCCATCTCTCTCATCTCCCAGGTCGGCCCATGGAGGGAGGAGCTACTCACACTGGAAGTGCCAGACCAGCAGACCAGTCATGAGGGACAGCATGAGGATCCCAGCCAGCACGGCTGCCAGCACCACCCCGTGCCGCGGGCCGCCCTTCTCCACCATCCTGGTGTTGTTGGCCGGCAAGAACTCCACACCTTCCTCAAATCCGTTCATGTTCTGAACAGAGAGATCAATGCACTGCCGTTCAGTGCAGGAGCCCTCCCGCCTCAGCAGCAGCCCAGCCCCGCTCAGGAGCACATGTACAGCTGGAGAGGAAAGGCAGGAGGCACGAGCCTTCCCTGCCCTGCAACCCCATGTCCGGGCAGCACCAGGCACATGCTGATGAAGAATTGCAAGTTTAAATAAAAATGAAACGAACAGCCCATCTGAACCAGTCACTGGGGCTGTCCACCTGCCTGAACCATGCTAGCTGCAGGAGGCCGCCCAGGTGTGGGGAGAGCAGGCCCAGCCCAGGGCCGGGACTGGCCACTGTGGTGCCTCTGGGCAAGCTTCGCTGGACACCCCACCAATGCTCAGCCAGCCAAGAGTAAAGAGGCAGTGAACTGGGCAGCTCGGCCATGCCCCTGCAGGACAAGTCACTCTGCCGTAAGCCTAACGTGTCCCAGGCCAGGATCCCAAGGTGAGGTGACATGGCCAGGTATCCACTGGAATCCACACCCAAGAGCTTGAAAAGCAAACAAAACTTCCAACAAATGGGATGGCAGCTTCCCCAGCTCCTCCCCATTAAGGGGTATCCAGGAAGCAGGGGCATGAGTATGGATGGGGCAGGTGGGGTGCCTGCAGCACTCAATGACAGGTGGGTGAGCAAACTGTTAGGCCAGACAGCACATGATCCATCTGCCTGCCCTAAATCCTGGAGAGGAGCTGTGCCCTTTTAGAGTTAATGGCCTCACACCCACTCCAACAGGGTTTGCAGTAAAAGCAACAGCCCCACCCCCAAGTTCCACAGATGTGGCCATTTTTAAGTTTCCAGATGTGGTCCACCAGGTATTCACCTCATGACTCTAAATGATGGGCCTGAACTGACATTTCTTGAGTCGTCACATTCAAGCATTATCTACTCACTGCTATGAAAAAGTCTCCCCGCTCCAGCCACATTCAGATACTTGTATCTCTACCTTTAGTTTTCTAATTGGTCATATTTGTGACTTAGTCTAATATCGAACACAGAAATATATCCCATACTCAACCCTACCCTGGTAATCATATTGCAACGTATAAATGTATCACTTCAACACTACTGGGTCAATTACATCTCAAAAAGAAATAAAACTTTTAAAGGAAAAAACCTACCCCAGAGGCAACCACTTAAAATGCATTTGAGCTGCTTGCTCTGGAATTTGCCTCCATATTTCTAAATAATATGCCAATATAACTATCTCTTGGTTCATCGATCTAAGATATAATCCTATTACGAAAACGTGGACTTCAATGTCCTTCCTTCTCTGTCTCTCACCCATCCTCCCAGGAGTTACAGAGCTAAAGTTTTGAAAAAATTACATCCATACTTTATGTTTTCATTATTAGTCTTTGAAAATATTGTTCACTGTTGTATCCTTCCCACTACAACTAATTTGCTTTTCTTGCCACAAATATTCATTCGCTTGGGTTTCTTTTTAACATGCACCTGTCTTTCCACACGATCTAAGAGCTCTGTAGTGTTCTTCTGAGCCTCCAAGTGTAGCGTCCGTCAAATAACCTCTCCTTTCACTTCCCTTCTGAGGGACCCCTGCCAGACCTCCCCTAGCTGTCAACTGTAACTTCCTCCACCATCACCCCAGGAAGCTCCTTCATCTCCCTCTTGTGCTAAAACCCTTATTTTCTGGATCCCACACCTCCATCTCTCTTGACTTACTTCATTTTGGTGGAACACATACTTCAGGAGTTTCCAGAGAGGGGAATTTTTTTAGACTTCGTATGTTTCAGGAGGATCTTAATTCTGCACTCGCACCTGTTTGATGGTTTGGCTGGTTCGAGGACTATACGTTTTCGCTTAGAATTCTGAAGGCTCCACTGTTTCCCAGAGCTTCTAATTTTGCTTTGGAGAAATACGTTATTAGTACAAATCCATTATTTTTTATTCATGATTTATGGTCTTTCTCTGAGGAAATGCTTTGATTTGGGTCTTTAAATTTCACTACACTGAGCTTTCTGCCTGTCCTTGATTTTGGAAACTCGGATCTTTCAGTCTGGGAAACTTTCTTGCGCTATTTCTTAGATTATGTTCTCCCCTTCATTTTCTCCTTTCTCTTTCTTTAAGTTCTATTATACTGACCCTCTACTTTCCTTATCCTTTCTCTGCTTTATCCATCTTGTTTTTTAATCTTTCTCTTGAGGTTTTCATTTCTGCTATCAAAACTTTCACTTTCAAGAGTTCTTTCTTATTCTCTGAATTTTGGATGCAAAATCTTCTCATCCTTATGTTTCTATTGAGTAAGTTTACTGTGTTGAAGACTTTCCTCAAATGCCTGAGGATGTGAGGCTGTTTACTCGTATCTAGGAATGAGGTCCTAGTCCTCTGGAAGCTCTGGGCATGGCTGGCCACAGCGGCTTCACTTCAGGCCACAATTCAATGGCTAGCCAGATATTCTACCAGGCTCTCCTCACTGTTCTACGGGATAGTTTAGTTACTGCAGGAGTTCTAATCTCCTGGATGGGGTAATTTAAACCCAGTCACTAACATGGAAGAGAAGAGACCCGTGACTGTGTTCCCCTCACTTCATCTCTCCTGGCATCTGGTGTCAAGTCTGGAGAAATCAGTTTCCCGCCCTCGTGGGGGACTGGTGGGTGGGGGTATTTTTGTTTGGGATGGAGGTGGGGCTCTGGCGGTTTCTGACAATGCTCACATCCTTCTTCTATAATTCCTGAGCCTGGCAGAGGATGTGACCAGAGAAATACCAGAAGAGTATTTCTAAGCACTAAACAGCAGCATGTATCTTCAAAGTCAAAGGGGTCACTGAATGGTGAGAAAGACAAATGAAAAAGCACACATAACAAAAATCTATCGTGTGAAATTTCAGAACACCAGGGTGTAAGAGTACATCCTCTATGTGCCTATCTGGCTTTCCCCTCCCCCTCCACCTAATATTTTACATTTCTTCATCATTTGGCTCTATTCTGGGATCTTTTTAAACTTACTCTTATAAACCTTCTATGGAATTTTAAAAATAGCTTCACTGAAGAACTGACATAAATTGTGCATATTTAAAGTATACAATTTTTTGGCACACACACACACACACCACCATCACCACAATCAAGATAATGAACATATCTATCACCTTCAACAGTTTCCACCTGGTCCTCCCCTCCTTTCCTCCCTGATTCCCTTTCCCATCCCCAAGCAACCTCCTATCTGCTTCCCAGCAGTAAAGGTTAGTTTCCTTTCTCTAGAACTTTATATAAATAGAATTATACACCAGAAACCCTTTATTGCCTGGCTTCTTTTACTCAGCATAGCATCTGAGATTTACCCATGTCACTACGTTTATTATTCCTTTCCACTGTTGAGCAGTAGCCCACTGTACGGATAGACAGCAGTTTGTCTACCCAGCCACCAGTTAATGGATGCTTGGGTTGCTTCCAGTTTGGGGCAATCACACATAAAGCTGCTATGAACATTTCTGTTTGGGTCTTTGTATTGGTATATGCTTTCATTGCTGTTGGGTAAATACCTTGAGTAAATTAGCAAGTCTGTATGATAGCTGTAAGTTTAACTCTTTAAGAAACTGTCAAACTGTTGTCCAAAGTGACTGTGCCTTTGTACAGTTCCCATCAGCAGTGTGTCATGTCCACATCCTATCCAACACTTGATGTGGTCAGACTTCCTCATTTCAGCCGTTCTAACAGATGTGTGGTGGTCTCTCACTGAGGTTTTAAGTTGCTTTTCCCTAATGACTAAGGACGTTGAGCATCTTCTCATGTACTTAATTGCTATCTGTTTATCTTCTTTGGTGGTCTCTTCAAATCATTTGCCTAGTTTTTAAAGTTGGTTTGCTTAGTTTCCTGTTGTTGAGTTCAGAGAGTTCTTTACATATACTCTGGTTATAAGCCCTTTATCAGATAATATACTTTGCAAAGATTTTCTCCTAGTCTGTAGCTTGTATTTACATTCCCTTAACAGTGTCTTTTGAAGAAGAGAAGTTTTTCATTTTGATGAAGTCTCAGTTTGTCAAGTTTTTCTTTATGGATTCTGATTTTGTGGCTGTACCTGAAAAATCGTCTGACCCAAGGCAACAAGGATTTTCTGCTTTGTTTTCTTCCAATAGTTTTATAATTTTGGAGTCTATATTTGGGCTTATAATCCATTTTGAGTTTTTTTAATGATGTGAGGCACAAATCAAAGTCCTTTCTTTTTTTGTAGGGGGGGAGTAATTAGGTTTATTTATTTATTTTTAAAGAAGGTACTGAGGACTGAACCCAGGACCTCATGCATGCTAAGCATGCGCTCTACCACCTGAGCTATACCCTCCCCATGTATTCTCAGTGGCCACTCCAGATTAGATACTGGTTTTCTGCCTCCCTGTGGTCAGCTTCCAGAATTGAGAGAGTAAGTACTCTGGGAAATGAGAACACAAGCCCCTTGGCAAGGGGAAGGTGGCCGATGGCATGGATAGCAGACCCCAGGGCCACCCTAGACTGGCCACAGAGCAAGGCAGTCAGTGGTGGGACTGGTTCAAAGGCATTATGAATTCTGGGCTCCATGCAGCCCAGAAACGCTGTTTAATCAGTAACTAGACCAATTCCTTTTATAACCCTACTCTTGGCTCCATTTGCAGGATATTAGAGATCATCTTGCCTAACCCAGTCATTTCACTGATAAAGAAACTGAGTCTGAGAGAAAGGGAGTGATCTGTCCAAAGTCACAAAGGTACTAAGCCAGTAATGCAGCCAAGTGGGACAAGAGCCACGCCTTCCAACCCTGGCCGGGGTTTGACCGATGCACGCGGTTGTCAGCTCCCATCCACTCCAGCTTAATCGTGTACACAACCTTCTCTCTACATATAATCACCTCTCTACAGACCACAGAGCCAATGGAGGAGGGTGTATGCCAACGCCTCCCTCTGCCTCTCCTCTCTCGAGAAAGTAAACACATTTGCAGGTGCACGTACAAAACCCAAAGCTGTGAAGCAGGAGCTTGCTAACCACAAACAGAG